CAAGATCAAACTAAAGCTAACGAAACACTGGACGGCTGAAGAAACGGAATTACAACGGTTTATTACAGACTTCCTTTGAAATACTGACAAACTCAACGAATTCAAGATAGCTTTCAGCAACAGATTCCAAACCTTACAAGACCTATTGAAAGAAAATGAAACTACTATGATGAACAACTGAAAAGAAGAACCAAAGAAACATTAACTTGAACGTGTCCGGAAGTGTTGGACTGTAACAACCATCATTATAAGAAATAGAAACCCTGGACAAGATTCAAGAAATCAAGAACAAGAAGACAGCGGTTAACAACAGCTGAACAAGAACAGAGAAATTTAAGGCACAAGCTGAAAACACGGAAATAAACGAGTAAGTGAAAAACAACATTAGGGTTAACAAACAGAAATATGTGGAAGAGCAAGCAACGACGGCGGAAAAGCTTCAAGAGAAGGAAATATGAGATAGCTATATGACACGACGAAAAAACTAGCGGTGAAATATAGTAAACCAGAGAGACCGACCAAGGACAAAGAAGGCAAGACAATCACCGGGATTCATGAACAACGGAACAGTTGGGTTGAATACTTTGGGGAACTCTTGAATAGACCAGCTCCATTGAATCCATTGAAGCAACACACACAGACCTTCCTATAAACGTAACTCCACCAACGACGGAAGCAATCAAGATTTTCAGCAGACAAAGCAATGGCGGGAAAGCAGCAGAACCGGGCAATATACCAGCTGAAGCTCTTTTAAGTCGGACATAGAAGCAACTGCGTACATGCTCCATGTTCTACAACCATCATCAAAAGGTACAAGCATTTGTAAGTAGTTTTCTACGCAAGATACTCAATGTCCGCTGACCGGATACCATCAGCAACAACCTACTGTGAGAGGGGGCGAACTAACTTCCAGCTAATGAGGAAAGCAGGAAAAGACATTGGAGGTGGATAGGACATACATTGCGGAAATCACAAAACTACATCACGAGGTAAGGTCTAACCTGGAATCCTGAAGGGAAGAGGAAAAGAGGAAGGCCGAAGAACACGCTATGTCGGAAAATGGAAGCAGATATGAAAAGGATGAGTAGCAACTAGAAAGAACTGGAAAGGACTGCCCAGGACAGAGTTGGATGGAGAGTGCTGGTGGGTGGCCTATGTTCCTCGACGAGGTGTAACACGCGTAAGTAAGCAAGTGTGTAATGGTTTTACTGTTACGGGTGAACTAGAGAGCTTTGGCTGATTAAAAACTTTTATACTGAATATTAATAATTTCACCGTTTTTGCATTCCTTTGTTCTGAACTTTTTTGTTTACATCCTTGTCTGTAGACATTTTTGGTTTCTCTTTGTCTTTGGTTTTGTTTGTGGAATGTTTTCTCCGGGGACCTTAAAACTGAAGGTTTGTTTTGTAATTGTTATAAATATTATTAGAACGACATTTGGGTCGATTATTTGTAACTTGCGAATAAACTTTAGTGTCTGAATTAGAGTTTGGTTACATTGTTATTTTTGGTTTTCAAGTTACAAGTAGATCGACATACCGTGCTTCAATAACGGGAGGTGGCAAAAATTTGGATGTAACACATGCATTTCTCTTATTTCTAAACAACAGCAACAGGAGCGATTTGGAAGACTCTCCCAGTCTCCCGCATTGCACGAGCATCCCATGTACCTAAATAAATGGTTGCTCTGGTTGTCAGAAGAGGCATCGGCCCCGTGACTTCCGAAGGAACTCGGCTTTCATCATGAGACGTCATAACTTCTAAATGAAGACCTCCTGACTCCCAGGGCAGGGTTTACATGGTTCGAATATTTTTTTTCTGGTCAGCGTTTTTTGGCGGCTTAGTTTTCTACGGTATGGGGTCGCTAACCCCGTGCTCAACCCTCCCCCATTATCCGGGCTTGGAACCGGCAGTAGCCTCCGGGGGGCTACATCTCTCGGATGCTGGCACAATTTCGACATTCACTGATCTTTCTCATACCAGCCCCTCATTTGTGAACATCGGTTGGTTTTAGCTTTGTTTTATCTTCATAATTCTATATTTCCACACCACTCATTTTCTTTTTCTATGACTTTTTAACCTTTGTTTACTATCAAATTGCAACGACTGCATTACGAATAGAATATCTCCCAGGGGTTCTTAGGCTTCCACCTAATCAAACCAATCCTGCGCAGTACGATCACGGTATACGACTGGAAACACGAGTTAAATGAATAAATGCTAGATAGCATTTACTGATGTGCAATTAGAAAACAACGATTATTTATTCCATTAACACGAGTATAGCCGGGATTTCGGTCCTCCTGGTTAGTTTCTGAATTCGTAAGGCAACTCAGATAAAATTCTCCTTAGATCCAACGTTTCCCAAACACCCTTGGACATCCTCTAGAAGGCTTGCCTACGCTCAATTCCAGTACGAACTTAAGGGAGAACGCCAAAGTAGATATACGAGACAGGAAACGGAATATTTTGCACACCTTCTAATAAAGCTTTGGAATTCACTACCAACTGACATGGTTCATTCAAATTCCCAAGAGTCTCTGAATAGGGTACTTCAAATATTCTCAAAAACTCGAAATAGTGTTTCATAATAATTTATTTAAAATTTTATACTTGTCTCATATACATAGACATCAGTCAACCATTTCTAGAAGAAATAAAAGCTCATTAAATATGATCTTCTGTTTCTTCACTCAGTACATGAAGTATCGGTGCATATGAAAGACAATCATGATTATCATTAGAATAAACATAAAATTGTGCTCTTCACTATATTGAAATATCAGCCTCTTCGATTCACTATTAACCCTCATATCATTTGCCCATATCTGCTGGACATTCCTAAAAGAATGCAATTACACCTCATGTTAAGCCACTTCACACTGTCCACGCATCAGTTTTCCTGATGAACTTTCGGGATGATATCCGAGAAACGTCCATGTGAATTTAAGTGACGATGTATCCAAATATCGCGTTTTTTCTAAGCCTGAGGTAAACAGTCGTATTTGTCCCAAAATTTCCTAGTGAATGAAAATATCTCTAGTGCAGCACTTTTACCTTCCACAAAATGCCTACTATCCATTAAAATTAACATCCATCGTTCTACGTTTCCTGAAAGCTAACAAAAATTCGTTTACTTTTCCCAGGAATTTAAATTGACTTGTCTAGGTTTCTATTCTTAACAAGTGAAGTATTTAATTTTTAGCGAAACGTAACGTACCAGTATACTGTATATTTCGGAAGTTAGCCTTTAGTTCTCCAAACCAAGTAAATTATATGCTCTTTCGACCATAAATAACATAATGGTTTAAGTGAGAACTATGTATTGCCAGTGTTTACACATACAATTGTCAGTGCCATCTATATAGAGGAAAAGGCCAGGCGTTCTCGTTGCAAATGAGTACAAGTTGTCTTCAACTGTAATCTTTAGTAAAATAGTGAGAGGCTTACTAAAATAAATGAAGAAAGCTTCGTTCAAACGAGGTATTCATGAATATCATCGTTTACCCGCTACATCTAGTTGCTATCAACGTACTCCAAACCAGTGAGAAGTTTAGTGGTGGTTTTAGCAAAAAATATTTACACTAAGGGTAATTTTCAAAATAATAGGGTTTTCGGTGTTAAGTAGAGTTTTCATTAATGGAGTTGTCAAACAACAGCAATGAACGATTATGGATTTTTTGTAACATAACTAATAAAATTTTGTAATCCAATATTTTGAAACCTGCAGTGATATAGCAAAGAGTAGGTGACGATATCTAAAAACGAGAAGCAAGTGTTCACAGACAGAATCGTACTTACGTCTTTTCTTCAATATGTCGGATAGTCCCCTGATAAATCGCTTAACACGATAATCTGCTATACATATTTCCAACAGTACCCTTATTTGTTTCGTACTCGCATACAACTCTACAGGCTCCGCTGACAATTTTTTATGTTTGTATTTATCCTTGATAATCTACGGGACCTGGTAAAAGTTCAAATGAAACTTATCAGAAATAGCGTTGTTACTGGGTATTGAAACTTACTGACGGCAGCGACTCTATTTCCGTTGAACCTATTCATGAACAGTTATATAGATAACAGGCTGAACTGAGAACTGGGGGAAGTTGAAGTTTCTAATCGCCTAAATTTAGGATATCCCACCGGGCTGTACTCAGCTTGCATTTCTGTTCACAGATTCGTACAAATAATCTGGCTGTCGTTTAATTACTTCTCTACAGAAAGTCAGGAGCGATAACCATTTTTTTCCTGATCTTTCTTTCTTACTAATAAGCCAATTGATGGCTACAACGACGACCTTTCTACTGGTAAAGGTATTAATAATTGAGGACTTTTCAGTTATAGGCTAAGACAAATTTATAAAAAAGTCGTCGATATTTTAATACGAAAAGTCTATGAATGCGATCGTTGCTTTCAAAAAATGCATGTAGCAAGGGGACCATGGCATCATGAGTAATGATGTTTACAGCCATACATTGGCATGATGCGTCACTAATGGTTATCCACATTTACACATGGCTAACTATTGAACACATGAGTATACCTTTACCACTGGAAGGGAGTAGTTTCTTAAAAAGATAGGCGGCGGCAACGTAGGGAAGAAGTTTAATTTTACCGTTTTCACCTATCGCTGTATTAAGCCTAGGTTTCGCTGTGAGTGTAAAAACTTCACAGTTGATAATCTGAAGGACATCTCTTTTATGGCTGGAACAACTCAGCAAAATGTTGTATTGTGTTTGGAAGAATATAGCCAAATATTTAGACGCAAAGGCACTGACAGCAAATTCAAGAACTTAAAAACCAAAATATTATTTCTATCCAATGTAGTGGAGAATGCTGGTCAGTGGCCTGTGCTCCTCCACGAAGGATGACAAGTAAGTAGTGGATACATTTGATTTCACATGCTGAATTCATAAATATTTTCGTCTCAATAAGATCTGGGGACACGGAATAACTGAGGAGGAAAGGTTCAATTGACAAACATGGAAAATATATACTAATAACTGAGGCGCTCCTTATGTCTTAAGCGCTGTATTTAAGTCTCGGGTGTGTATCTCGGGCGTGTTAGTAGATGTTAGGGATTCTAGGTAATCAGGCAAAGCTCTTTTGATAGTATGGCATTCATTTTTGTAACCTTTTATTTACTTTTGGCTTCACTGTGTTTGAACTTCAAAACTATACATAAAAGCGTAATGTATGCGAAATTATTACTAAACAGGTTATTTTCGGTAATAAGTACTAACCTTTACATGGTCTGGTTATGTTTTCGACAATAAGTCAAGTATTTTCGAGTTTGGCTAGTGAATTCACTCTATGAATAGACCTCGTTTCTAAGTTTCAAATGTAGTCTTTACTAGCTAACGTTTTTTGTTACTTAGTTCACCGTAATATCCTGTTGTAATTTCTCATATCGCTACTAAGAATAAGTTTGTGTGTTGCGTTCCTTACCGCACTATAGGGTTACTAGTGCCCCTTAAATGCCTGGTTCGAGTTAGTTGGAACGTCGAATACATCGAACTAAGCCATCACTCCACTAGACAAAACCTATCATATATTTTCCCGTGTATTCAGCTTTTAAAGCCAGAACAAAACCATATATTTTTCCAAGTTCCGCCTACAGAGATTTTTGAACCTCCGACTGGCTTAATTTTGTCATATTTAGGTCCCATCAAACTGTTGGCTTCTCCTAGTGTCCAGGTAAATGTTATGGGCAGTACATTTATATCCGATGGTGTCAGTGGACAAAACTTCGTGTCAGGGTATAAGGTATAAGCTTTTGAAGCGGCTAGTTACAAAAGTTTTGTCCTATTTCATTTTACCATTGAGTGGAAGGTAACTTACAAAGTCATCTGTTCTAAAAGATTAGTAGACTCACTAAACCTACTTCGATTTATATATCCAGGCAATGTGTGGAGTAGTAGCTAGAGCTTTTGGCTTCCACTTGCGAAGTCCCAGATTCAACCCCTCGGTTTTGGTAATCGTGTAGTATCACTAACCTCCACAACTTCAGTTTGATTCGTACCCACACACCTAGTAAATAAAGCAACTCCATCTTCGTAATGTCATTAGTCTTAATGATCCAAACTAAAGTACATTCATCTCCACTTGGTAATTAAGTCACAATATTATACTAAAAAGTTCGTGAGTTGTTATACCTGTACATTTCGCTGCATGGTAAATATACTTGACAAGTTACAATAGTATATTTCTACGCAACCTTATATACGTGAATTTTTATTTTCATTTTGTCATGTTCCAAATAAATAAAGGATTCTGACAAAATGACAGTAACTAGCCGGCTTCCGGGATTTGATTATCGATCAACAGCCATACTTATTACCAGGTTAGATGTTACTTTACTGACGGTTCTCTGGTTTTCCACACATAGCACTTCTATATGGACCATCCCATGTTAATAATAACACGAAGTAATGAAATGCTAGCTAAAATAGCCCTCAGATTTTCCCATTAGTTTTCTAGCCGTGTGGCTTTAGTTGATCATTGACTTGCTTTCTAACGATTGTTTCTACACCCAATGTTTTCTTCAGACTACTTTCTTCGGGTTTAACAAGTTAATCCCCACTATTCGTTGATATTCTATTTTCAAATTCCTTCGCCACTAACTTATTGTAACTGTGAACCCATAGATTTGTATAAAGCATGTTAATTGGGTGGTATAGATTTTAATAGGTTAATTTGTATTGTTTTCTTAAATGAAAAGCTCAGATCTCTAATAAATGCTGATTTTCGGGCCAACATTTAACTCCCATTACGTTGTCAGTCAGTCAGTAACAACGTAGACCTTTGTACGTACGTACATCAGCTCAAGTTGCCATACCGCATTAGCACAGAGATGCGGTTGTCGATTCAAATCCCGTAGTGGTAGAGGTAGTAAGAGTATAAGCAGTAATTGGAAAGATTAGGGCTTGAAGATGTTATTCAAGGAGTGTAATCTAATGAAATAAATTTGGAAATAGAAGAATAGGGACAGAAAGAATTCAGAAGATTAGAATTTGGGAGAACACAAAGAGTGAACTCACCTGCGCCATTGCAAACGATCTAGAGCCATATCATTCAAGGTCTCTAACCATCGGTTGCTATCATCTCGCTAATCGCAATCGCGTAGTCTACACCTACCAACATGGCTCAGTCCACTTGTCAGTGACTTCATGGATTTGTGCCATGTTTTGGTCTGGCCGCCCCATTGCGTGGACACAGGAATATTTCACCTTTGAATTCCAATAATAGATAAGTTATTTCCACCATAGCAACTAACTTTGTAATGAACGCAATGATTGATGTAAATCAATTTTCTGTATTCATATCAACCTTATCAAGCATTCTGCTTTCTGAAACCTGCAAATTTTTTTATTTTAGGCGTTATATGAAGTATTTCACCATGAAAAAGCTTTTGCAGCTTTTCTCCTTCCAACGAAACCAAATCTTTTATAAGCATGCAAACTATTCGGTACGTGGACAAGATTCAAATTTTATTCGGCTTCACGGTATCGATGTGGTCCGGGATCCGAGAACAAATCGAGTGAGTGTTCCTTGCATATATTGAATTCTTCGTCGATAACTTTTTGGCAGTACTAGTAAAAAGTACACTATTAATGACTTTGTTTCAGGGAACTGCATTCACTCTTAATGAGCGACAATTACTCGGTATACATGGGCTACTCCCACCTTCTGTATTAACTCTGGACCAACAGGTCTCAAAAATGATGGCCAATCTAAAGAATATGAACGATAATTTGCAGCGCTACGTTTATCTTACTTCATTACAAGACCGAAACGAGGCTTTATTTTATAAGGTACGTTTAAGTTCCCATTTCTAGAGTTGTTACCCTAATTTATTGTCAATTAAATTTTTGTAGTATATTCAAAAAATGGTGTGCTCTTATGATGGGTAGGTACGGCTGATGGTTTGTCAATCTAGGTTTCGACATATCACATCCAAGAGTAACTTACGTTAACTGAATTCAAGGAAAGCGGATTCATACTAAAAGCGCAACGTGTAACTATTATTACTCCAATTGATAATCATAAACCACTTACCTTTCTTATAATTACGTCAGTTGTACTGTCAGAAATCAACTTTGTTCCCCAGTCAGACGTCTCTAATTGGACGCAATATCTGCTTTGAATACCAGATCCTAATGGTGGTTGCTTAGGAGCATGTGACAGCTTTATATCGTCATTAATCTTCCTTTGTTTTTTTGACAACACTAACGAGCAGCATAGCCTCATTCGTCAATCCGCATGTTTAGGCAGCATTATTGACAAGTTCATAGCCAACCTTTCTGGAAATACCTTTTGTTACCAATCCGTGTGTGATTTATGAAATGTACTAGTATCATTTGCATCCATTATGTTCCGTTCAATTGTTTACTGAGAACCGATAGTCCAGTCTTTGACACTTATCTTTAGCAATCCAAGATACCATTTTCCGATCGAATCAATGGTGAATTATGGGCACAGAGCTAAATGATTGCTTATTAAGGAAACATACCACTATGAGGTCGTGCATTGTGTGTACCACTTCATTCTTCTATCTCTGGCTACAAATTTAATATATTTTTTCCAATCGCTGTTCCTATTTCAGCTTGTTATTGAGCATGTGGAATATTGTATGCCGTTGATATATACACCAACTGTTGGTTTGGCTTGTCAACGCTATGGTGTAGTATTTCGACGACCTCGGTAAGAACTCTAATTTAATTCGTATCTTTCTACATATTAGCAGTTAAGCCAGTTTTTTGAATCACTTTCTATCCAGCTTGATTTAGCCTTGATGTGTTCAAATCCACTCACAATCCTAACATAGCCAAAGTATAATTTAATATCATTTGTTCAAAGTTTTATGATTTCATGAAGGCCAGTTCTAAATTTAGGGAAACTAATTAGTTTGAAAGCTTAAAGTAATTTCAACCAGGAGGAAAATTTACCAACAGTTGTGCCAGGGTATAACAGGAGTTATTTAATTTTCATGAATAACAGACATTCTTCTTAATACTCTTGCTGAAAAGAGGAAATAAAGACTTAGCATCTAAAAAATGACACATCTCTGTTTCTCTGTGGACAGTAAACTTTTGTGCTTCTAATGAAATCATATTTAACTGGTGCCTTTTCAGATAGTCGTAGTTTTAAGTGTTCAATTTATCAGTACTAGATGCCGTTTCCTCAAAATTCCTCACACGTTAATCGTAAGTAAGCAAATCAAAATCATCATCTGTATCTTGTAGTTATAGTAAATAGGTTGGGATTACATTTATCGTAATGTATTCTACGAATCGTTTATACATCGTTTCGTGACTACGTATGCCAACTGAAAATCTTAAGATAGAAGGCAGTGTGTTAACGTTTTAGCGGACTGGTATATGTGTTCGTATTTTGATTGTGATTCATACTGAGTGCTCAAATTATTTATTTTATTTAGAAGCATCCTTATAAACGTTCATTTATTTGTAGATTGAGATAGTAATTCATAGTTGTGTGAAGCGATTGCGATTTTTGATCTTTTTAAATCAATGCATACTATATAGATAATTATATTGTGAATTCCTCTGAGCTCTCAACATCCAGTAATTTTTTTAATTTTTAGTATTGAATTTGCAGTACAGTACCACATCCAATGGGAAAATTATAATTCAGGTCTTATATTCCTCAGCGAAAGAGGATTTTCCATTGTTTTTAGTTTTAAATCATGATGTAGTTCGTGGGGTTTTTTCAAACTTGTTTATACGTTATTCCAAATTGTGCTTTACGATTTACCTAATTATTGTATCTTTTGTCAAATTCCCCTTCATTGATCAGTTACCTTCTTATTCCCCGTTAGAGGTCTATACATAACAGTACACGATCGATATCATATACCCGCGATTCTAAATAACTGGCCTGAACCGATCGTAAAGGTAAGGTATTTACGTATTCTTTGGTAAACTCTATTTATTTTCATAACATTTGGTGACATTTCAAACAATATTCAGGAAGATTTGTCCATAGTATCCCGTTCCGTCTAAGTCACAATTGGTTGATAAAATTAAAAGCTTTTGCTCTTTTGTAGTTCTGATGAGACAGTCTGTTTGACAACAGGTATTGAAAACTTATGTTGACAGACGAACAACGAGTTTCAGCTAGGCGGTTCATCAATCACGTGTTCATTGTCAAATTTTAAAGTCTTAAGTGGTAGACTTCTCCATTATGTTCAGGCTCCCAGTATTTATCCAATTTATTTGGCTTTGTAACGTAAAATAATAAAATTCAAGACCATAAATTTGCCCATGAGGTTATTTAAATAGCAGAATAAATAGTCTTTTTAACATACCTATATAATCCACCGACGATACTTTGAAATTTAACTTAACGTTGGCGAATGGTGACACACTGATCATTTATATTTTTTGTCGATAATAGATCAAAAGCTGGAACTAAAACCCATGTCCAAAAAGCACTCGATCGAATAGTGGATGATGTCCTTCAGTTTTACCGAATTGATTGCGCTAATGTCACCTGACTATTCCAAAAAGGCCTTTGACAAAGTATGTGACGAACATTACAATATAAATCTTTTACTAGTTACATTCAAAATATCGGCTCCCGACACTACACAGAATTCGCTGACAATTAATCTAATAGGTCTCATTCATTCAGTGTTGAACTAACCACATTTTCCTTCTCTACCTGATCTTCGATCACTGTCACACGTATTCCAAACCAAACACATTTCCAGTCCTCTCTTTGATTTCCTTGTTGTTTACTAGAGATTGTATATCTACCTCACTTCAATGTTTCAGCCAGTGTAAGATGCATTAAACAGGGTTACCTAATCTCATCATTTCTCCTCAACTTGGTCACCTATAAAATTCTGGATACCTAAAACTATATTGGGGATAAGAATAGAAATCTGTCTTATGGGATGTGGACAAAATAGTTCCATTTCGCTTTGATAAAAACATAAATTGAACCTTATCACTTGAGGACAAGCGTTCGCATGTTTATTTTGTGCTCCGCATCAGTAAATTTTATGAGATTTTTTACAAAAAATGATATAAATCTGCTTGCACTCACCTTTCTAGTTAATAATTTCTATTGACTGAATTAAAAGCATTTGAATAGTTCCAAAATGCGAAATCAATCTTCCTATGTCTAAAACATAACAATGTAGTTTTAGCTGGGTCACTCATTAGTCTGACTGGAAAGTTTGGAGAAAACTCTGACGAAACTAGTTTATTGCACGGTTGTAAAGTCTAATGTTTATGTACTAATAGATCCCTGATTTCAGTTAGGATTACTCGCACTTGTCGATATCAGGTAAGTTATCCTAGTGAAATATTGACTTCACTGGATTGGATATCGTTTATCTGCCAATTCTTAGTGATTTCTGTACCGAGCACTGCTCGCTGATAGAACCGGTTCAAAAAAGTAAAGGTGCGACGCGTTTGTGACATGGCGTAGTGAAATAAGAGACAACCAGATTGAGTCATTGTGTTAGGTCATCACTACACCGCTTACAAAACCATATATTAGTATCGAAGGTACTCTATTCGAATCAAATCTTGTGTCGAGTTTCTGTAGAAAATATATCCCATCTTCAAATCCAATAACATATTTAAAACCCCATATCATATGAAAACGCAGAAAATATACGATTTAAACTGTTACACATGATCGGTATGAAGTTTTTTATGATGGTTAACTCTCAGTAAAATAATCTGGTAAATGTAAAACGAAGTATTGAAAATTAGTTGCCAGATAGTTATTCTTACATCACCATTAGCGATCGTTATGCGCCACTAAATACGTGGCCCGATTGTTTATTTACTAGATTTTAAGTTTGAATCACTGTACATCCGGTGTTGTTAAAACAGCTGGATGTTGCCATTGACAGAAAAAGTATTATTATTATTATTACCACCAAAAAATCTGATTATCAGATTATTTGGAACAGTAGAGCACTAAGAAACGCATTATATACCATCTGTAGATTGATTAAACTGAATTGATTGTTCACTGTACTTGATTTTCAATGCTTTGTTGATGAGGATTAGGAGATAATCCGAAATCACTGAATTTAAGTTTCACGTAAAATCTTCTCGTTTATTTGCAGTTTATACATCCTCACCGATAATCCCAAACCTTGTTTTCTATAAGTTATCACTGCTAAAATATTCAGTTTGTCATCTATTTTTTGCTTAAAGTTAGTCTAAAAATGTCTCCATCCAAGGCTCGTAATGATCAGAACCCGATTCTAGAGCCTCCTTGTGAATTTCTTTCATGTTTATAGTATGGTAGACATTTGTTATCTCGTACTTTTAAAGTTTTAGTTATTGATCTAGTACCTTATAATAGTCATTATAATCGATACTAAATGTTATGATGTGCATTTAAATGTGCTTTTTTTTTTACTGAAATTCACTTTTCCAAGGCTATCGTATTTACTGATGGTGAGCGTATTCTTGGTTTGGGTGATTTGGGAGCATATGGTATGGGAATACCCATTGGAAAACTGTCGTTATACACAGCACTGGCTGGTGTCCATCCGAAGCATTGTTTACCAATCCTTTTAGATGTCGGAACAGATAATCAAGAATTATTGAATGTAAGTTTAGGTTGCTAATTGGGACAACTAATTTTTTATTCGTCAGCTGATAGACTGATAACTCGATGATGATGTTTTCCAGTGCAAATTAGTCTTACTTCAACAGGCAGAGTAGGATCAAAATTACGACTAACAAGATGCCTGACGTGTGGATTTCTTGAACAGCTTGATCTTGAGTCGACAAAGTCTTAATTCATTTGTTGTGTCTAAATAGCGAATTGAGGTGTCTATATAAATGATGTCTTCTCATATGGGTATTTTGTTACAATAGTCCAAATTTAGAGAAGAATAAGCGCCTATAGTCGAATAACCACTCTAATACTATTGATTAGTAATATAATTGTCACTACGTGCTAAACATGTGACACACATGCCTTCATCTTGAAAAAATATGTGGATGATTTTCAATCAGTGAATTGTTAGGCAGAAAAGTCGTCACTTTTGCTTACACCTAGTTAGTGTGTTTATGAATGACACTTCAAAATGTAGCAGTCACTGATCAATTTCCAGTTAACTGTTGCAAAATAATCTTCATATAGAATAGAATTGTTAGGTTGTTGGAGTCAGTCAACCTATTTTTCGTACCAGTCCCCTCTTTTCAGTAAAGGTAAACTGCAATCTCATGGAATTTGAACCCCATCACTATTGAAGAACTTACTACTAGGTTATTTTATAGGACTGACTTGTTAACATGAGTTGGTTATTATGCTGCTTGAATTCTATTGATCAGTTTATAATATCGTAATACTAAGAAATGCAGCCTAATGGCCGCATTTTAGTCGGTATCAAGAAATAGACAACACTACCTAGAGTACTGTTATTTAATCAGTTAATGAAAACCGTATTATTTGTATCATAAACCATATACAGTTATTACTAGTGGTTGTGTTTTCGTATATTTCTGTATTTGTCAATCTCGTGAGTATCTTGGAGGTCTCTCACAATGTATTAGGTTACTATTGTTCTTTATTTAGCTATTTACCGAAATTATTAATTTTCACTAAATCGTTTTTTACTGTGTTTATTGTTTTTCATCTCTATGCAATTAGTAGGTCAAACTCAATAGTTTTACGGTAATAACGGTCAAGTACTATTTTTTGCAAAATAGATTAATATGGTGAATCAGTTATAAAATCAATTGTGCATTATTTATATAATTTTTTTGATATATGCTAATTAATTTTAGATTCTACTGTCAATCAGATAAATTGTAGGGAAAAAGTCAACTATCATCCTTTGATCATTAATACTGAACAATATATATTCAGCCATCATTATTTATTTATTTAAACACATAAAAATGGGTACAAGGAGGCACCAAACAGATATGTGAGGGCTGAGGTACTGCCCGGGTGCCCAAACCTAAGCAGATGGTTTTCTTAAGGGGACCACCCCCCGAGCCTTTGACCGAAAAGTCTAATCCACAAGGCGGTGAAGCAACGTTAGGAGATGCAGTCCCATGGTAGTCGGTGACCAACAATATGCTCATACGCCATTTGCTCCCTCGGGATCCTGGAGCCCATGTGTACCATTGGTTTGGAATCAGGATTTTCCAATTCCCCCAGGTGGAGCCTCCGTGTCCACCAACCCGGTTAAAATGTCGGACATTCGGTTTTTGTCCTCTTAACTTCGTAAACAACACACCCACCGCGATAAGACAATAGCTGTATACACGTGACCACTTAAGAGCATTTCGAGAGGGAGAGCTGACTCTTTCTACCCTCGGCCGTGCCAGGGCATTTGGGGGCCCACCATACCAATAGATGAATAACAGTTTTGTTACCTGTATGGTTTGAAGAGATTAGACTGATTTAAAAGTTATTTTCATGTGATAGCATCAGCTGAAAAACTATTGCAAATTAAAGAACATTGGTTAGTTATTCTGGTTTGTTTTCTGCCTCCCTCAGCAGTATGCACTCATAACCCGTAAGATGAATGGAACCTAGAACAGTCAATTCTTGCGAACGCGTAATCGTTAAGTCATTGAACATCTGGGCTACCTGTTCCTGTCATTTAGATATTTCAACAAGTTATCTATTTTTTGTTTTAATGCATCATTATATCTATTAATCGCATAACCTATTCAGGTGCGTTTCTGAAAAGTGTACAACCTTTCGTTGTACAAGTTACAAAAGGCCCAATCAAAGGTATCTTGGTTGCTAGCAATATGCGGCGAAATGAATGTACATTATTTCGATATCGATTTACTGGGCTGCTGTAATTCAACTGGCGATCACTCAATATTTATCGTTAGTATCAACCAAGAACTGAGAAACGGAAACTTGTTGAAATACTTTGTGCTGAGAATTCTATATCATACCAAAAATATAATAATGAATAAAGCTAATAATAATAATTATTATTATTGTTATCCAGTTGTCCACTGTTATTATGAAGACTATTCAGATTTCCAAAAATATTGTGATATGTGTGTAGGAGGCATATTAATGACATTTGATTTTCGTTACATTCTTTATCCTCCAATACTTTTCTACATATTTCTTGATCAATAAATCTGTTTCATGTCAAGTAACAATACCACTAAATTGATAAAATTACATAATCTACCTACTATTATTACTGAAATCTGTTTGCATTACTGTTGTTAGTTACATATCACCTTTAATTACTTCTTCTTCTGTAGGATCCTGTATATACGGGTATCAGACATAAGCGTATACGCGATGAACGCTATGATGAGTTAATCGAAAATTTCATGCAAGCTGTTACGGAACGGTGAGGTTCATAAAAAATATTGTAATAATGTCATATCCATTGTGGTTCTACAGTTTTTTGAGTTGTAGATATATTTTATATTAAATGCATTGCCTCAATAATTGCCTACTATTTCATGTATTATCAGCTACGGGAACCATTGTTTAGTTCAATTTGAAGATTTTGGAAATCATAATGCATTTCGTTTACTTGAACGATATCAAGATTCGTACTGCACTTTTAATGATGATATACAAGGTAAGTTAGTAAATGTTCTTTGAAAAATTGATGTTCTTTAGTAAGAAATCTTGTCTTCATACTGTCTAAAAATTATTATACATATTTATATATCAATGTGAATGCCCTGGTACAACTGAGGGTAGAAAGAGTCAGCTCTCCCTCTCGAAATGCTCTTAAGTGGTCACGTGTATACAGCTATTGTCTTATCGCGGTGGGTGTGTTGTTTACGAAGTTAAGAGGACAAAAACCGAATGTCCGACATTTTAACCGGGTTGGTGGACACGGAGGCTCCACCTGGGGGAATTGGAAAATCCTGATTCCAAACCAATGGTACACATGGGCTCCAGGATCCCGAGGGAGCAAATGGCGTATGAGCATATTGTTGGTCACCGACTACCATGGGACGGCATCTCCTAACGTTGCTTCACCGCCTTGTGGATTAGACTTTTCGGTCAAAGGCTCGGGGGTGGTCCCCTTAAGAAAACCATCTGCTTCGGTTTGGGCACCCGGGCAGTACCTCAGCCCTCACATAAATCGAGTGATTTATGTGGCGCATATCTGTTTGGTGCCTCTTTGTACCTATTTTTGTGTTCAGATGAATAAAAGTGAACAAAACTACTTGCAGCCAAAACTAGGTAGGACCTACTTTATACTTTGTTCATATTTTCTAGTGATTATATTTTATTGGTATATTTAGTTTGTTTGATCAAATTAAACCAGTGTTATTTTGTGAGCTTTAGAAACCATGTTCGCTTCTAGAGACTCCCACTCGGTATTTTTCGAGTTTTCATAACCTCGGTGCTCACTTTTAACATATATTGAGTGTTCTTTCTTTTTACTCAAATATCCAATTTACAAATTTAATCCTGATTAACTTTTTGTTTAGTTTCTCGACTTTGAGCGTTTCTATATACTGACATCATAAAACCACTGGGATTATTATTTTTCAACATATGCATACAGAAATGATCTGAAAATTAAACTTTCTGTATATCAGTGTAAGATAAATTAGTATTCTAATTATACTTTCGAAATATATTAGTCCTTTAAGTATTTCAGTGATATTCGAATAACAGTCATCAAAATATGCTTAAATTTTGCATATTTTTCATGTTGTTTGCGACGTTCAGGTACGGCAGCTGTAGCGGTAGCCGGCTTACTGGCTGCCGGTCGTATTACAAAGCGTAAGCTTACAGATGATATATATCTTTTCGTCGGCGCTGGTGAAGTAAGTATGAATCTTTTTTATCTTTCCCATGTGTTGAGTAATCACAATAGTATATCAACTACCGTCTGTTGAATATATATATATATATTCAATGTTTTAAAATTTCGATATTTGGTTACCAAGATAGATTATTTGTTTTACAAGTATTATTTCTCAATATAAGCCGTTATTACGTAGTCTCTTTTCCGTATCATTATTGTCTTGTGCTTTTCCTCCCGTCGAATGTGTAAACAAAATGATAGGCAAGTCAGATTATCGTCTTTTTTTTAAGCATTAAGTATCTCACCATCAGTGTACACCAATTAGTATTTCAATGAATTTTCCACTTTTAATTTTAGATCACGGAATTTACTCATTTAAATGACTAATGACAACCAGTGAAACTACCAGTTTGATTCTCAGTTTTCAGTCATTGTCTAAATAAAGTCAGTTCGTGATATAAAACTACAAGATTCACCAATCTTCACAACGTCCTGTGCTAATAGGATTTTATGCTATCCTTACAAACTGGCATCATGTCAAAATTAGCCTAATAATAAAACAGCTTGGTTTTTTTCTATAGATTGAATTTCAAGCCTTTTATATATTCATAGCATGGTAAACTCGTACATCATATTGTTTTTAAAAACATTGACTTCATTATAGGTATCTTAAAGTTCAACTTATGTACATGATAAAGATACTAACTAATAAAACATACGATGTATCATATCCTGTTAAAATTAAGTATGATTTCGCAAATATCTATTTTAATATTAATGAATGACTTTTTAAGTGTGATAATTTCATTGTCAGGTTATGTTAGTTTTAAACTCACCAATTATGGTGGTATTTTCACTCAAATACTAAAACTTTGGAAAAACATGTGTATACAGATTACAGCTTAGCTTCTTAGCTTATATACTTGCTAAATGGATAATCAAAATACTGAAATATTCATAAAGATTGACTGTCATGAAATGCACACAGTGGAAATTTTAACAAGTAAATGGTCCATTACATGAATCTTTAAGGATACCAGGGTTCTGTCCATTTATTCTACTGTATTGACTTGATAGTTAATTCAGTCGATCTTCAACCACTGAACTATAAGTTCAATCCTTGTCCCACCTAATTCTGATTAGGCAACAATTTTCTTGTCACCAGTAATAGGATATGTTGTCGTTCTTGAGACACACGACATAGAAGTTTATGATTTCTGAAGAATTCGCTAGTCTTATTCGAGTGAAATATACAAACAAACAAGTTTATAGTCTATGTCATTTAATTATCCATATAATATTCTTTTCCATTAGCTTCTAGTTAATGAAACATAAATTGTTATATTGATTAATGTTTTCTCTATCTACAACGCTTAGTAAATATGTGCACACATTTCTATGACCTCATGTAAATATTCAAAAACAAAGAACATATGAGCAAACAATGGTTCCCAATAACTTAGTCATTAAGCTCTATAGTTATTAATCCGTAATTATTGTATTAAAATGAACAAAATAAGGCGTACATAAATAGTATATAGCATTATCTAGTCCATTTCTTCATGTTTTCTTTGACTTGTCCATTGTAACACAATAATTACGGATTTATAACCATAGAGCCTGATGACTAAGTTATTGGAAACAATTATTCGCTTAAATATTCCTGTGAATGTTTCACAGAATATATTGTAGGTAATTCATCTTTTTTAGGTCATTTTATTACGAGATGTAATTTCTCGATCGATTTCGGTTACAAAACAGACCCCTTATCGTTGTTTAAACAGTTTCATGTAAAATAATCTATTATATACCTCTCAATTTATCTATTTTCTTATAAAATAGGCAGCAACCGGTATTGCTCAGTTACTGGCAACATCATTACAACTAAACGGATTGGATGAGAAAGAGGCCCTGAGTAAAATGTATATGTTCGATAAAGACGGATTATTAACACATGTAAATCTCCTTGTTTCTGTTATTGTTACTGTTGTTAAAGGTTTCGCCCTTTTTATTTTGGTTATTTTATCATATTGGTCTATTCAAGTTCACATTACGGATATTTGTTCATCAATTCAACTTCTTTATTTAAGTATGTGTAAAAATAAATACAGTAAGAAAGTCAGATTCCTATCACAGTTTCGTACCACAAACGCCCTAGTTGTGCACATATTGAGTTATTATTATTTGTTATGGTCTTGTATTTGTTGTATATAATCACATCAGTTTTTTAAATCTGAACAATACATGACAACGCGTGATACTTGTCTAGGTATCCTGGTTTTCTGATCAGGGCTTGGGTGTGAATGAGACTGTTACGCCAGCTATCGGTCGTTTTAGCGCATACAGTGACTGTTTGTGGGGGTAGGCGAAAGTCATAAGGACCACAGAAACATAACAAGAGCTCTCTTCTTAAGTCACATTGCCATCATTGCTTTCGTATCATAACCTACAAATATTTTGCAGTAACCATAATAGAGATTGTCTCATGTTAAAATATCATCTTAAATAATTCGAACAATAATTTGCCTTTGCGTGATAATGAATTTTCAATTATCACTACTGTTTAAGCACTAATGAGATTATGAACTTTATTCTAGACTAGGGAGAAATTGCTACTGAACCTGTTGAGTCACTCTCTGATATCCTATATATTTCATTTAATACTTGGGTCACACTAAAAAAGAAACAACTCTTTCAGTTTCTCCTAATTAGCGCTGTCCCAAGTAAATCTCCGTGTTCACGTCTATTATTCGTCAGATAAAGAATACGTACCTTGTCTCTCGTAATCTTTTGCATCACTCATCACTGTTATATAGTGTACAAAATCTTTTTTCATTGTGTAATCTTACACTTCTCACGTACGATTCCTGTAGTTTGTATTAAACAGCTTAATAAAATTTCATGCTCTTTTTACTTTTCGATCCTAAATGAAGTTAGGATTTAAAAAGTTCAACTCTTATCTATTTATCAACAGAAATTTTTCTATTATAGTCTTTTTGAATAGTGAATATATCCCTCACTATAATTACTTGTATGCTAACTCGAGTTAATCCATATTTGTTCCAGGTTATGCGTTTATCACGACTGACCAACTGATTTTTATTTTGGTTATAATCTTCTCTATGTAATATTTACACATATTCGTCAGTTTTTATTAAGAACACTAAGTTCCAAGGACTTACAATAAGAAAATAAGTCTTCTGTGACTTGGATTTAAAAGTCACTAATCAGTTACCACATCTGAAAGAATAGGAAAAAAGGCGCTTAATTATTCCCTACAAATAAAAAAATCTTTTTTTCCTTAACATTACAATTTTTGAACCTCGTAGATAATAATTTTTTGTTGCTTTGACTTCCATAATATCCAGTCACGCCAAGAAGGTTCACTAACAGATCATAATAAAGTTTTTGCGCGTGACGACACAGAAAATATATGTAAACTGGAAGATGCAGTGAAATTACTAAAGCCGACAGTTATTATTGGTATGTTATTTCTGCTGATTTATTGTCTTTAATGGATTTCTTATGTTCCTATATATATATCGACTAAAGCTATTTTAATATTTTAATCTGATTCTCCTGAGTACCTCACAGACACCTGTTTGTGTATGTCTGGGACTCAGTTGTTATGATTTTCGGTCTCTAGATTGCTCCTACTCGGGACTCTGTTTCACCGACCTTCAAACTCAATGTGTAGCCCGCTATATCACTTACACATTGTGATAACCAAGTAATTATTGTTGACTTTAGTTTCATCGTTAACTTTTCTTTGGATTCGTCTAATCGATAAAGTAAACAAACTGGTGGAATGATGAAACTTAACACGAGTTTTCTGAATATTCTCAGTCCTAAATTCCTAACTGTATATAAATCCACCACTTTATGTGCTCTGTCCATTAGACCATTGTTTCATTTGTTTATTTTTGTATTTGTAGTGTACTGTTTACATTTAAATTAATAAACATTACATTAACCATATTATAAGGTAAACTATATGATGAAATTATAACAGTGATATAAAACCCAGCTAAACATAGTTTTGTATGCCAAGTTGTATACTGTATGCTTAACACACTTTCTTATGGGTAACAAACTGTTCAGAATATCGACACTACACTTGTAAAATGCTTACATGGAATTGTCGACGTAAGCTATTTATACGTTATCATGATATAAATGGGCCTCAAAAGTTTCTCGCCATTGGCATATTTATTTAACAAGGCAGGCTTGATAGTCATTATTTTAGTGGTTTCCATAGCCTAATGAAAAGTGTTAAGTATGGAGGTTCAGGTGGTTGTCATTTGTTTTCATTTAGTAGAATTATTATTGGGAATTATTTGCGTGTGTTAGTTTCTTTTAATGAATAACTAATTTACACACCCTCATGTTAATTATATTTTTGAAGGAAATATACAATTCGGATGGGTTTTGTGGATATTATAGTAATTTCAATGGTTAAGATCATGAGTCAGTTGAAGCTAGACCACCGTGAAAAACCTGGAAGCACTGGACGGCCGTCTCGTCCTATTTTGGGACCCCTCAACAGTGCGCATCCACGACCTCGCCCCCTGCGAGACTCGAACCCCCGACCTACTGGTTTCGCGCGCGAGCACTTAACCACTAGACCACTGAGCCGGCATCCAACAGTGTTAATGTCTAACTTCAACTACAATTGATCAATTAAAATACTTTTTGTGACATTAAAAGAATCTAGATATCATTATCAAGGTTTGGGTTGATAATTTTAAATAAATAAAGCATCAGGTAGATTGTTAGTTGTGAAAATAATGGCATTTCTAATATTTACATGAGTATAAAATAAAATTCCTGATTTTCCGTAACTCAGTGTAAGCCACTTCTCAGAGAATAAATTAATTTATTCATTAGCCTGAGTCTAAATAATACGAAGGAACAAAGCGGAAATATCTAGTACAACCAATTAAAAACAGCGGACCAAGCTATTGTCATGTCACTCCGGTCAGGGTGATTTCCGTGTGACATGTTTGTGTATTTCTGTATGTTACTGAAGATTACTTACTAAGATCTCGTTTCTTCGATATCTTGATAAGGTATTCTTCTTTTCAGTCTGTTGGTACTTGTTCTTCCTCTACAATCCTCCTGAAGAGAATGTGGAACAACTTTGCAGTTTTCTTGATATCTCACTTCAGTGCTTCAGCTGATGTTTTCTGGTCCAGCTGCTTTCTCACTCTTGATTTGTCTGGTGAATATCCTGATTTCTTCGATTGCTGGTGGTGTAATATCTATAAGGAGGTCTGTGTGTATTGCTTCGATGTTTTGTGAGTTCAGTGGAACTGACCTATTGGAGGGCTTTTCAAAGTGTTCTATCCACTTGCTCCCCTGATTTTGAACCACAGCTATTGGTTTTCCTTCTCTGTTCCTGACTAGTTGCTGTGTTCCACCATATTACCCTACAAGCTTCTTGTTTGCATTATACAATTCTTTCATACATCCACCCTTCAAATTTCTCTGCCGTAGTCGCCAGGTTTTCGACACATTTCCGCTTGTTTGCTTCTGTACATTCAGTTTGTAGCTTGATTCCACCTACTTTTGTTCGGATGTTGTTGAATGTGATTTTCTCGTTTTATCTTCCTCGAATCTTGCTCATTATATCTATGGGGATTTATTCTTGATCCTGGTGCTTCTTGCAGTCTAGCACCTGGATTGTTGAAGTTGTCTGTTGTTTAATTCCTTTCCGGTTGTTCTCCATGTTGGTTTCCTCTTCTTTCGGTAGATCTCGTAAGGCTTTGAATTTTTATGGTGTTGCTCGCTCAATCGTCCGATGCTTTATTAACTCCAGTTTCATCCTGACCATCAGCAGGTGGTGATCTGAATCTGCGTCAGCTCGTCTTTGTTTACATGTCTTCCATTGACCTTCTGAATTTTTTATTGATGCCAGTATGATCAGTCTGATTCTGTGCAGTGTGGTCCGGTTAAACTCATGTAGCTTTGTGCATGGGTTCGTGCGGCAATATAGTCTAGAATTTACCAAGTTTTTTCAGTTTTCTTAAGTATTTTTCAGATAATCATGTTTTATCAACTCGATATGGTTGAGTAAAGTTTCTCCTGAATAGTGCGACAATAAATTAAGTGATAATTTGTTTGATATCTACAAGCTAATTTGTAAGTTTTTTTAACCCTGGAGGTTTTTGTTTCTATCCAGTACTAGTCACCAAAACTTAGGTATGCGAATTCTAGTTTTAGAAATCCTTTATTCGTACCGTCTATCACTTCTTGTGATTTTTAAATCATTCAGTCAGCAAGAACGTAGAACTTCGTACTTACGTACATCAGCTCAAGTTGCCATACCGAATTGGCACAGAGATGCAATTGTCGATTCTAACCCCATAATGGTAGAGGTAGTAAAATTATAAGCAATAATCTGAAAGATTAGGGTTGGAAGATGTTATCAAGGAGTATATATAGTATATATATATAGTATATATAGGAGTATATACAGTGAAGTAAATCTGGAAAGAGAAAAAAAGGACATGAAGAATTCAGAAGATTAGAATTTGGGAGAACACAAAGAGTGGTCTCACCTGCGCCATTGCAAACGATTTAGAGCCATATCATTCAAGGTCTCTAACCATCGGTTGCTATCATCTCGCGAATCGCAACCACGTAGTCTACACCTACCAACATGGCTCAGTTCACTTGTCAGTGACTTCATGGATTTGTGCCATGTTTTGGTCTGGCTGCCCCTAGTTTTCTTCCAACCTACTCCTACACCATAAAACATCACTTGTCGAGGCAGCCAGTGATTGGACATACGTAACACATGTCCCAGCCATTTCAATTGATGAAGTTTCACTACTTCATCAATCGATTTGCCATCATTACCTAGTACCCGTTTCCTAACAACTGCCTTACTTACTCGATGGTCCCAGGATATACGAGCAATGCTTCGAAGACAACTATGATCAAATACTAGTAACCTACGGATATCCTCTACTCTTAGCAGCCATGTTTCACTGTCATAAAGTAGGACGGAACGAACTGCTGCGCAGTAAACCCATCCTTTGGTTAGTAGACGGATATCTCGCCTACTCCATAAATGACGCAAGTCGGTAAAAGCTAGTCGAGCCTTCTGTATCCTTGCTGAGATTTCGTCACACACCAGAACACAAAGACTGATGAGACTCCCAAGATAAGTGAAGCGGTCAATATGCCCAACTACTTCACTCCCTATCATTAGTTCGGGTGTCGATGCAACACAATCCTGAAGCAACATTTTACATTTCGAGTGGGAGAACCGCATCCCAAACATACTTGCGTTGTTGCTTATAGTGGTCAGAAGACTCTGGATTTTGTCAGCGTCTTCACCAAATAGAACTGTCATCAGCATATTCTAAGTCAAAATGTCAGTCAGTCAGCTACAACGTAGGACCAGGCACATATGTGCATCGGTCCAGGTTGCCATACCTCATTAGCACAGCAAGATGAACACCGGATTCATAGCAGTGGTTAGGTCAAAGGTGGTAATATATAAGAGAAAGATTGCATATAAAGATATAGTACAAGAAGAAAAAATTGGTTCGTAGAAAGAAAGATATGAAGCGATTTTAATCTCTTAGTTTAAGGGAAGACAGGGAGTGTATACACCGACGCCATTGTGATCGATTCTGAGCCATGTCACCAAGAGTCTCCAACCATTGGTTACGATAGTCACGGCAACCCCAACCAAGTAGTCTGCATCTACCAACATGGCTCAGACTAGAAGTTAGTGACTTCAAGCACTGATGCCACGTTTTGAATTGGCCGCCCCTAACTTTCTTCCAACCATCTCGAACACCGGTTAGCATTACATGTCGTGGTAATCGGTGTTCAAGCATACGTAACACGTGGCCCAACCATCTCATTCGATGAAGATTCATAACCTCATCAACTGATTAACCATTATTTTCTAATACCCTGCGTCTAACCTCACTATTACTTACCCAGTGATCCCAGCAGACGCAAGCAATATTTCTAAGGCATCTGTGGTCAAATACTAATAGCTTACGAGTGTCTTCTGCTCTTAATGACCATGTTTCGCAGCCGTAAATTAAAACAGAACGGACTGCCGCGCAGTATACTCGTCCTTTTATTGATAGACGGATATCTCGCCTTCGCTACAGGTGACGTAAGTTGGCAAAAGCCAAACGAGCTTCTCGAATCCGTGCTAAGATTTCGTCCGACACCAACCCATCAGGGCTGATCAGACTTCCAAGATAAGTGAAGTTGTCAACGCGTTCGACTACTTCACTCCCTATCCTTAGTTCAGGTGTTAACGCAGACCAGTCCTGAAGCAAAAACTTGCATTTAGAGGGAGAGAAGTGCATTACAAACATTCTGGCATTGTTGCTCAGTGCTACCAGAAGACTGCATTTTATCAGCGTCTTCACCAAACAGGACTATGTCATCTGCGTATTCTAAGTCGATAGGTGGACCTCCTGGAAGGAGATCAATACCCGAGAATTCAGTCGACGAGAGTGTTATTTCCATCAATAGGTCTATGATGAAGTTAAACAAAAATGGGGAAAGTGAACAGCCTTGACGGACACCACTTGAGGTTACAAAAGTAGATGACAGTTCGCCATAAGCTCTGACTCGACTAGTAGTGTTCGAGTGAAGAGCCTTTACAAGGTTTATGTACTTCTGGGGTACGCCTTTCAGTGACAGACACTGCCACAGAATCTCGCGGTCTACAGAGTCAAATGCTGCTTTTAAGTCGAGAAAGACCACCATTGTCGGACGCCGATAAGTATGCCTGTGTTCTAGAACCTGACGAATGGCGAATATGTGGTCGATGCAGCCACGACCAGGTCTAAAGCCAGCTTGGTTCTCTCGAGTTTGCAGTTCACGAGTCTTAGTTAGGCGTCTGATAATTATCGAGGCTAGTATTTTAGATATTATATTAGTTAACCTAGTCCCTCTATGGTTGTCATAGGATGATTTTGACCCTTTCTTATATATTGGGACGATAAGTGATTGCGACCAGTCAGATGGGATAACGTCTGACTCCCAGATCTTAGCTAAAACATTAGTCAACCTACTCGCTAAAATTAGACCACCATCCTTAAAGACTTCTGGAGCCAATCCATCTGGACCAGCTGCCCTTCCTTGTTTCAGGTTAACTATAGCCTTTTGGACTTCAGCAAGAGTTGGGGGACCTACTTCAATGTTCCATTCACACTGTCTGGGAATGGAGGGTAGTTGTAGAGTAGCTGAAGACCAGTTGAACTGTTCTCCGAAATGTTCCGCCCATCGTTCTAAACGTCTGGACTGGAAGCAGATGAGAGTATCGTCTTTTTCCGATATAATCTCACTTACACTTGACTTATTAATTCCAGTTTCTTTTATTAGTCTGTAAAGCTGTCTTGTGTTCCCTATAGTCGCCGCCTTTTCCATCTCTTTTGCTTTCATTGCCCACCACTGCTCACGGTCGTTTCTTAGACTTCTTCTTAACCTAGATATGATTTGTTGTCGCTCTTCATCATGTTCGGAACCTGATGGGACGAGTTTGCGAGAATCCATCAGTGTGATAGACTTTGAAGAAATCCACTGGTTCTTTGTAACTCTGTGGTTTAAGTCGCTAATAGATGTCACTGCTGTTTCCACAGCTGCTTGTATGTCTTTCCAAGCAACATCTGGGTCAGCCTCGTCTTCGGAACTACCTAATTGTGAACTCAGTTGTTCTTGGAACCTATTTTTGGTTTTCTCGTTACTCAACTCAGTTCTAATGAGTCTTTTTAGTGTGGCTTTTTTGCGTCCAGTGAGGCGCAAGCAGATGCGTGCCCGTATTAGGGCGTGGTCGGAGTCCAAGCAGGTACTCCAGAATGAGCGACAATCTTCTACCGACCCTCTCCAACGATGACTGATGGCAATATGGTCTATTTGAGTCCATAGTTGGTTTGGTGTTGGGGGTCGCCATGTTAGACGATGTCTCTCCTTATGCTTAAAATTTGTGTTTGCTAAAAATAAACGATTGTCTGAGCACAGTTGCAGCAGACGATCACCATTATCTGTTCGCTGTGCTGGAATGCTAAAATATCCACCTAAATGCCTTTCTGTTTGGTTTAAGCTACCTATCTGAGCATTAAAATCACCTGCTACGAGTACTATGTCTGAGCGTTTAGCTTTCTGAAAAAGTTCAGAAAGCTTTCTGTAAAATTCATCTTTCACATCATCTGAGCTGCAGTCAGTGGGAGCGTAGGCAAAAACGACGAAAAGGCAACGACGTGTATCCCTATCCTTCCGAGTTCTTACGGAGCCGTTTAGCCGAACAGCACATAGACGACTGTTGATGAGGATCCACTCTAGCAGTGCTTGTTCGGCCCTCACACTTAGTGCTATGCCTACACCTGCCAATCCACGAGAACTGGCCATCGGGTCACCAGATACACGGAGGGTGTATCTCGCTGGCTCTCCGTTTTGCCGAGTTGAGGTCATGTGAATGAGCACACTGGGATCCTGTATGCGTGTTTTGGAGACACAGCATACATCAATGGAAAGAGACTCTAGGGTTTTAGCCAAGGAAGCCTGCTGACCGATTTGACATAGGGTACGTACGTTGAATGCTCCAATGTGTAGTTTGGAGCGAGGTTTCAGTAGACCTGGGACAGAGTTTTGAGCACTAGAATCGTTGGCTATGGTGACACTTTAGGAGGAAGCCGAAAGAGGGAGTTTAGAGTTGAAAGTCGATATAGAAGGAATAATAGGAATTGAAGAGGAAGGTTGATTGTGAATACAGTGGTCTTGAGTGCTGTTAGAGGTATGAGGGCGGTTGCCCACACCGAGGAAGGGTTCTTCTGGAGGTACCTGAAAAGGAAATTGGATTAGAGGCGGTCTCAGTGACCTGAGAGCGTGACCGCAGTGCCCAAGGGACAACTGCTTGAGGCCGGTCGCGCTCGGCCTTTTCGTGGGAGGTTTTTGACGTGTTAGCTCCGTTCTTCATAGGGCCTTACCGCCGGAGACGGAAATCCGTGAGGTAAGGTGAGGTGTGCATTTTTAGGGCCGACCGTTTCTAACCCCACCCCTCCTTGTGGGAAGGCAGCATTGCTGTCATGCTGGTTGTTTGAAGGAAACACCTTACTGCTGTCACACCTCTCTACAGTCAGCAGTACGACTTCGCCTTCGGACCTTGGGTTTGATGCTTTTAGTCTTACCGCTCTTCAACCGACCTGTCTGACATGGTAGGACCTTGAGGAACGATTGTTCCAGCCAGTATAGCTCGGTTGCTTCATCACGATAGGCAGGCCCGACCACCAAGTCAAGGTAGCAACAACGGTCGGGTAGTCAAAAAGTGAACCTCCCGGTAAAAGTTCAACTCCTGTAAATGTAGATGAGAAAAGTGTTATCTCTAAAAGTACATCAACGGCAAAGTTAAACAAAAATGGAGAGAGTAAACAGCCCTAACGAACACCACTTGAGGTAATCAATTCTGATGACAGTTCGCCATAAGCTCTCACTCGACCAGTTGTGTTCGAGTAGAGAGCCTTTACAAGGTTAATGTACTTCTTTGGTACTCCTTTCAGTGACAAACATTGCCATAGAACCTTACGATCGACAGAGTCGAATGCCACCTTAAGGTCGAGAAATACTACTATTGTGGGACGTCTGAACGTGTGTCTATGTTCTAGGACCTGACGTAGTGTGAATATCTGATCTATACAGTCACGTCCTGGTCGAAAACGAGCCTGGTTTTCTCTAGTCTGCTCTTCACGAGCTTTAGTTAGGCGTCGAAGTATTATTGAAGCTAATATTTTAGACATTATATGAGTCAAATTGATTCCTCTGTGATTGTCACAAGAGGACTTTTGTCCTTTCTTATAGACTGGCACAATCAGTGATTGAGACCAGTCAGATGGGATTACGTCCATTTCCCAGATTCTACCTAGGACCTCAGTCAATCTCGCTACTAATACTGGACCACCATCCTTAAAAATCTCAGGGGTAAACCTGTGTGAACCTGCTTCTCTCCCTCGCTTCAGATTTCTTATAGCTTTTCCAACTTCGTAAGGAGTTGAAGGACTTACATTAACTTGCCATTCAGGTCGACTGGGGATCGTGGGAAACCGAAGTGCCACTAAAGGCCAGTTGAACTGATCCCTAATGTGTTCTACCCATCAATCCAATCTCCTGTATTGAGAGTGAATAATATGTCCATCTTTTCCCGAGATAGTTTTGCTAACAGTCGGGTTCCTAATACCGGTTTCCTTAGCAAGTCTGAACAATTGTCTGCTATTACCTATTGCCGCTGCCTTTTCCATCTCTCTTGCTTTCGCTACCCACCACTGTTCGCGATCATTGCGTAGGCTTCTTGTCAGCCTGCACATAAGCTGACTCCGCTCTTCGTCATATTCGGAGCCAGATGGAATGAGTTTTCGAGCATCTATCAATGCGGTAGACGCTGCTGAGATCCAGCATCTATTCCTCACCTTATGGTTTACTTTACTAGCAGATATCACTGCTGTTTTCACAGCTTTTCGGATATCATTCCACGCTACCTCGGCGTGGATATCATTTACATGGCTGTCTGTTTTTCTAGTATGATTTTTAAATACACATATGTAAGAAATATAGTCATTGGTTTTCACAACGGGACTTTTTCATTTAAAGCTATACAAACTATTTATTACTTTTATTTACTGGGTACCATGTAACAGGTGCATCCGGGCAAGGTGGAATTTTTACAGATGCTATCCTTCAACAAATGATTAAAAATTCTGAACGGCCAATTATATTTTCACTGAGCAATCCAACTTCGAAATCTGAATGCACCGCTGAAAGAGCATATAGAATTACAGAGGTAAGATTGCTACCCCAAATGTGTGTATTATATTTTCATAAACGTGAAAAAACATCGTTTTCTTGTATCTAGTATCACATAACATTTGACAGAAGTGATAGGAGTCTAGGAATTGTTATTATTCTGAGCTAGTGATTAAATTTGTAAGCCTTTAGTGTTTACTTAAAGTTTTACTGCGCCTTTCAATCTCTGTCCCTTAAGTTCGAAGGAAATAGAAAGTTTACACCAATAATGATTCTCTTGACTTATTGATCTAGTTTTGCTCCATTATAAAAAATTAAGAATTAGTTACACCACTTTCTTTTCGACTAATAAGGTACTGTTGTTATATCTTACAATTGTCTTTTGTCAAGACATGGCTCAGAATCTTTCACAATAGTTCAGACGCGTTAATTCTTTATCTCCCTCTCGATCTCGAATTCTAGTATTCTTCCACACATACCTTCCCATTCTGTCTTCTCAAACTACATTCTCAGGGTATGGTCTTTCTTTTTATTATTGCTACTACTTTATTTAACTCCGCCTGTAGATCTAGGGTTAGTGCCGGTCACAAGCCCGGGTAAAGGAGAAGGGTTAAGCATGGTGTCAGCAACCCCATCACGTAGAAAATAACTGTTGGGGGGGATCCGGAAAATTCCTCGAAAAAAGCCAGAAAGGGCTATAAAAACCCTAGATTTTCTGTACATAAACGGAACTTTGAAGTAAAGAGTTTCTTCTATATTTTGCGCCTTTTCTCTCGTGTTCAGGTCGCTGTATTAATTTAGCCTGAGGGCTACTAGAAGAGCTTAGGAACCGAATCTAAGGGAATCACATTGAATGTTGTGCACCAACCAATGATAGACTGGATGCAACTAGACGATCTGGACTTCTCAGATGACCTAGCTCTTCTTCCCCTTTACACACGAACAAATGCAGGTCAAGACAGCTGGTGCAGCAGAAGCCTCTGCACCAGTAGGCCTCAACATACACAAGGGAAGAACGAAAATCCTCAAATACAACACACAGAATACCAACTCAATCACACTTGATGAAGAAACTTTGGAAGAGGTGGAAACTTTCATCGATGAACAAGGAGGATCTGATGTTGACGTAACGGCATGGTTTGGTAAAGTAAGGGCAGCATTCCTACAGTTGAAGAACATATGGAACTCAAAACAACTGTCAGCCAATATCAAAGTCAGAATCTTTAATACGAACGTCAAGAAAGTTCTGTTGTACAGATCTGAAACTTGAAGAACTACCACAACATCTTCGAAAATGTACAAGTATTTACAAACAGTTTTCTACGCAAGATACTCAGTGTTCGTTGGCCGAATCTCATCAGCAACAACCTACTTTGGGAGGCAACAAACCAGCTTCCAATGGAAGAGGAAATTATGAAAAGACGCTGGAAGTGAATAGGAAACACATTGAGAAAATCATCGAACTGCATCACGAAGCAAGCACTAACTTGGAATTCTCAAGGGAAACGGGAAAGTGGAAGGTCAAAGAACACACTGTGCCGAGACTAGGAAGCAGACATGGATAAGATGAATGGCAACTGGAAAGGATTTCCGGGAAAGGGTTGGATTGAGAATGCTGGTGGGCGACCTATGCTCCTACACGAAGGGTAACGGGCGTGAGTATCTGATTCTGATGATCTAGTGCACAAACATGGGTCAACGTACATCTGTGCTTTATTTTGATAGTGTCTCTTTTTCGTGTTTATTACCTAAACTTTGGTATGTGATGCTTATTTCAACCATCTGAAAGCCGAGTGTTTAAACTTACTGAGTTTTTTGTTGATTAACTGCCACTCGAAAGATAATTAACTGAAGATGTTTTCTGTAACTCATAGGCATTTGTAGTTTATTAACATCAAATTGTTAGTTATATCCGTTTCATATAGTTAGATAACCTATACACCCATATTATTATTTTATCAGAAGTTCATCGATTGTTTAGCACTTTATTTAATTCGTAATAAAAATTTATGAAGTTAGATGCTTATGTTCTCATTGTTGCTATTAGTTTAGATAAACTTAGTAGCTTTTTGACTTAAGCTCTTCAACTTTATAGCATGATTTTAACTCATCACCAATTGTTTGATCCAAACATTATTCAGTATGTATAAAAACATCTCTAAATTCCATTCCACTCTAATAAATCCAAGAGTAATGAAGTGGAGATGGAACTTTTCCTCAGAAGTAGTACTATTAATATTTATGCCTCAAGAAATTGTGTCGTCGAGCCAATGTGTTTGACTGGATTTATGAATAATCGCTATAAAATCAAGTTTTCTTATTTTTCATGTTGTTTATTAGTGATGTGTAATCTCACCGAATCCCCACCTTGCAATAGATATACAAAACCCTGTAACAGATAGTTTCAATCTCATTGTTAACTACTTATTTTTTTAACCGTAAACATTTTCTGTATCTGGGTGACGTGTATTTAACTTGAATTTGTTTGGTTTTCAAGGGTCGATGCGTATTTGCTGGCGGTTCACCCTTCAATGATGTTTTACTTAACGTTTCTGGCAAAGAAGTGCATTTCCAACCCGGTCAATGTAATAATTCTTACATTTTTCCCGGTGTGGGATTGGCTATTACACTGTGTCAAATCCGTCCGGTTTTACAAGAACTTTTTGTAATCGCTGCTGAAGTAAGCATCTTGTTTTACTGACTTGTTCCAATGGCCTTGAATGTGACTAACTGTGTCGTCACACACATTTTTACCTACTTACTGACGCCCGTTACCCTTCGTGTAGGAGCATAGGTTGCCCACCGGCATTCTCCATCCAACCCTGTCCTGGAAATCCTTTCCAGTTGCCATTCATCCTATCCTTGTCTTTTCTCAATTATCGACACAGTGTGTTCTTTGGTCTTCCTCTTTTCTGTCTCCCTTCAGGATTCTAAGTTAGAGCTATCTAGTTTAGATATTTCTCTAAGCAAATTAATGTGCCTCTCGAAGTTGAACATCAACTTTGAAATGCAGGCACATCCAGCTGACGAGTCCCAAAGAGGACGAGACGCGCATCCTGGGTTCCACTGCTAGCCTCAATCCATCTTTGCTTATAATGCTTGTGAATTATGGCAGTATCAAAGCAATACGCACAGTATGAACGTATGCCAATAAGTGACTGATCGATTGCAGTCCTAAACATTAATGAGAAGATTCAAGTAAACAATACTAAGTGAATTTAGATCTCTACATTTCTATTCAAATTCGTATTCATAGGTGTCAGCTTTTGCTTAGAGAAAGTAGCTATTATTTTGGCATGTTTCATTTTCCGTGTATTTTAATTGATATCATGAACCACTTAATGTCAGACTATCAGTGAACATCTGGAAGCACTGGACGGCCGTTTTGTTGTAGTACGATACTCCTCAGCAGCGCTAATTCTATGGTCCTACATACAGAATTCGATGGTCTAACACTGGTCGGTTCACGATCTCAATAAAAACTCAACAATCACCACAACCCTATACTAATAATTATCACATGCTCTCTAGTGTTTAGCCCCGAGAACTGATTCTTAGAGTTCTATTGAGAAGCCATAATCAATGGAGTTCAAACGTGTCTGGTGTCAGGCAGTTACTCACTGAAGACAATGGAGGGCGGTCGCGCAATATCGTGGACTAGTTGAAGTTAGACATTAACACCGTTGGATGCCGGCTCAGTGGTTTAGAGGTTAGGCGTGCGCGTGCGCGTGCAAGACCACAAGTCCTGGGTTCGAGTCCCGCGCGCGAGATCGTGGGTGCGCACTGTTGATGAGTCCCATTCTGGGGAGAATCAGCCATCCAGTGCTTCCAGGTTCTCTGTGGTAGCTTAACATTCATCGGTTCATAATTTCAATTTAAACTCAGCAATCTTCACATCCTTTATATTGATAACTCTCCTGTATTTTTGGGAGTTATGTTATATCTATTTCTCTGTCTTTTATTCCTGGGTCCGCATAATTGACAATGAAGAGATGTTTTAGATTCGTCGTATTGCACACATTTTCCAAGTAGCTTCAGTAGTTCATTTATGATGTTCAAGTAAATTGCATTATGAAAAATATCCTGTTTTTTACATCTGTGTACTCAAAGAACATTCAAATCATAAAATGAAGATAGTCCCTAGTGAAAAAAGAAACAGTAGAAAGAACACCGATGAATTGGATGAACTTCGTGATTAAAGGCAAAAATAATAAATATCAACTTAGTGAAATAATGAAAAAAATAGCTTGAAATTCGATCGTGCCTTTTTTATTATTCATTTCTTCGTTTCTCAAAAATTTTAGTGCTTAGCAGATCAAGTCGACGAAAAAGATCTGGATGTTGGTCGTGTATTCCCACCGTTAAGAGATATACGCAATGTTTCGTTGGCTATAGCAGTACATGTTGCAAAATATGCTTACTCGAAAGGTATTTGCCATTATGAACCACAACCTAAGGATATTGAATTGTATTTGTCTCAAAAGATGTATGATCCTAATTATTTACCAGTTATGCCTGATGTATACGATTGGCCACTTGGTGTCACTGATGCGGTCTCATGAGGATTAGAATTTTCAAGAACGAAATAACCTCATCATTTCAGTGCAGCGTATCAGAGGTTCAAATACTACATTTCCCACCTTTCTATCACTACTAAATTTTCTCCAACTTTTTTTCATTATACGGTTCCTTGATTGTATATCTTTTTCTTTTTTATAGTAGCGTAGCTTTATTTTAGAGTTATTTAGCCAACATACTATTCATTAATTCGATTTCATTTTATGATGTGTTTCTTTCCTTTTATCAAAACGATTTACGATTTCACTCCTGTAAGATTACTAAGGATACTACTGCGATCTTATTTGCAACATTTCGACCATAGTGTTTTAATTGTTCTTTTTTGTCTGCTAATGTTTCCAGTTTATCTTGTTCAAGTTGTTGTCTCACTTTTATAATAACCTCAGTTTCAATGATGTCAAATTCAGCCCTTTTATCGAAAAACGAATTGTTGTTGTCTCTAATAGTTAAGATCAGCCAGCAGTCGAGAGAAACTTTATATTGGTCTCCATCCCCGTTATCAATCATTAACAACGTGTCTGCCGTTCACATATTTCCCTTTAATGTAACGGACTAAACAAAAATTTTGCAAATGGATGAATATTCTACAACAGTGATAGCGACAGAAGACCAAAGAGCCAGAGATAAGTGGTTAATTCATGAGCAAACGCTAATGATAAATGAAAATAGAACGAGTAAAACTCAGTTAGGTAAAATAAAATCTTTGTTTTAGAAGGGAGTCGAAAAAAGGCGTAGTGATGTAATCAATAGAGAAAAATAAGAGTTAAATAAGAATTTATGATGTAATAAAAAAGTCTATGTGATTAGAGAAAAGATTGTTGATTCCTCTAAGTATTCATTTTTAATACGTTACTATCGTTGTCTCATTGGTTCATGCACCTGTCTCTAAAGTGTGTAATGTGTTGATAAGCATAGATCAAGCTTAACTCATCATTGTGAGGTTTCTTTTAATGTAGCTAGTTATTTCTGTACTTAACTGATCAGTTTCAGTGCTAGGCTTGTTAAGCTTGATGGTTCTTGAAGATTAGTTAAATTTTCTGGACTAGTGGTATCGTGTTCTATATGAAATCTGAAGTTACTTGACTACGTCTTGCAGGTACTCACTATCAGATATTCAAAACAGCTGTCTATGGCTTTTTGGTTTTTTTTCAACCGTTCTAGTTTTATTTATATACAAAATTTCATTTTGAATATCCATATAAAAATATGCATAGTTCGACTACAGTTAATTTATTTAATTGCCATTTCACGACTGACTGATAGTGCTCATCAATAGGCTGTCTATTGAGATGTGCTCTTGAATCCTGTGAACTTAGCAAATGTTTCTTATTGGATCTGATATTTGTGTTACATTTGTTTGCATCCTGTTGCATATACATATATATATATATATATATATATATATATATATATATATATATATATATATATATATATATATTGTGAAGAAAATATAAGCGTTCATTAGAATAGCACGCTTAACAAGATTTACATCGTAATGTGTGTAAGTGTTATCATCTCTTCATTAAGAAAATTTCCCAAAGTATTATCGAGTAGTAGGTGACAGCATGTAAACTATTGAAGAATCCTTCGTTTTATGTGATGCCACTCAAAATTTATAAATTTTAATTAAGTAAACAAAACAAAAGAGTTTGTTTGGATTTAAAATATCTAAAGAGAACTAGTTGGGTTTTGTCCAAGCGTTCATATGTGAATTTATGGCATGGATAGGTACTACGCTGACAATAAATAATCCACAAAGTTGATTGTGTAAGACAATAAATAGGTAAATACAGCCCCGAACTAAAAAAAACCAGTTTTGTAATGCACTGAACAAACCAGTTCTATAATTCATCAGCCTCCCAAACTAAACAAATTTAACCAATCAGTTTTTAAATCCAAGCTACATTAATACGGGAAATAAGATACATTTGAAAAAAAAAACTAATTTAAGTTACAGCCTTCAAATAGGTTTGTTCTCTGATGATAGGATAAGAAATCAGAAAGTTATTGGAATACCCTAGTGTCCTGTTCAATTTTTAATCTGAAGAAATCAACTTGTTCAGAATTCACTCTAATGCAGCTTTTGGTGGTTGGAGACACTCGGTAGGAGCTCTAGACTTGCAATTCACCCGATAACTCCTGTTTTCGTATTACTATCCATTACTTCATGAAATATCTGGCTATATATGAGCGTCATTGGATTTATCCCTTGTATTGTCAAGTTGCGAAATTTATGGATTGGATTCATGTCTTATATTGAATAAAGAGAGGATTCATTTTCACAGAATGATCTACTTGATTACTTTACATTTTATTCAATAGTGCTATCAATAAAATGTGGAAAATCAATTAGTTAAGCGTAATCAATAATATCACAATTTTATTTTGAAGTCACTATATTAATATCTGTGGATTAGTTACAAATACGCTTCGCTAAGAATTAATTATTTAGGGTTTTAAATCAATAATTGATTCATGTAATATAATTAAGTGGTAGTTTTCTATCCTTCTAGACTCCGATAAGGACTTCTTACTAACCTTAGAGTGACGATGGGGTTTTATAAAATATGGTTTGTTGACTGAAAAATCATTATCTTCATTGAGTAGCTGGAAGGAGGCTATATTATCTGATGGGGATTTGTGTTGGTATCTACTCGATATGATTCCAAGTTCACTGTAAAGGGCTCCGCCAATAGTTTTAGTTTGGCCATTAAATACCACTTTCTCACCGTACCCCTTTGACCGAATTGGCTGAAGTATCTGTCATCGTTAAAGAAGAACTTTAGTTCAAGGCAGAGTAGAAAGAATGTATTATTTGGAAATTAAATATCTCCTTGAAATTTTACTTTAACATTTATACTACTTTTAAGCAGTATATATATGTATACTTATATGTACTAGACTTAGTCACATCACTCATAGCATTAGTCTATCGACTAGTATCTTGTTTATTTTGTTCACGTCATTTATGCTGAATTGCGTCAAATGTTTTTAATAGAAATTGAATTCAGACCTTGTCTAAGCTACGAAGAAAGTATGGAAAGGATTTTATTTGATCATCTGTTCTCAGAATAACCTTATCTATTATTAGCTAGTATTATGAACAATGTATTCAAGCTACTGTTAATCGATGTTTAAAGGACATACGTGATTTTTGACTAAAAATAGTTGAGAGAAGAAAATTAATGAAACCAACGATATAGATGTAGTATGAGTTTAGAACTTTACAAACTCCTAGTAAGCGGACTGTTGGATAATCAGAAAATTAGTAATTATTCTTTGGTATACTAGATATTTGAGCCGTCAACACATGTACTGATTTGTTAAGAAGCATATTGATTAATTACATCTTACTACAAGTTAGATTATCCCTTGTTCCCAGTGCTTATTAAGTATATTTCAGAACAATGATCTTTGTTAAATGAAAATGTTCATTTCGAAGACGCTTAAGATTTTCGACACTTCATATGTTTTTTTCATCGAGTTATATTTCCTTATGACGCGAACAGTTTGTGTTAGCCTATACCCGAAGGAATAATTATGCGAGTATATGAAACTCAAGGGAAAATTCCGACTGAAAACTGCAATAACAGGAGCCAGTAATTATAAGTAGAGACTGATGGTGACCAGAAATTAAGTCTAGTACACACGTAATGTTAAGAAAGCCAAAAGGATTTCAATAAATGTAAAGTGTAACCAGCGGACATAAATAATTAGGTAGTATTTGGAAAATTCCACGTGTTGATTTTATCAAACAGAGCCTGTATAACCACTATTAATCCTCTAAATCAGAATTACTATCATCCGATTAATGAATTACCTGCACGTGAATGGAGGAAGATAAAGTGTTTCAGTATAATTTTGATGTCGGTTCGCGGTAATTTCTATAATTCTACGATGTTCTATTTGATACTAATCACAATATTTTGAATAATAATTATTTTATTATTAGCTCATTTTTATGTAGAGAAACTCTATCATTAATCTGAAATACCCAAGCGTATGATAATTAAAACATCGATGTATTTCAGAGATTCTGAATCAGTCATGGGTATTTCACTATTCATAACTGTTACATTCAATTAAATACTTAAGAAATGGTTCGCAATATATTTATATAGAAATTATCTGAATCTTATAATGTAATGTTGCAGAAATAGAATATGAACTGCACTGTTTTCAAACTCACCTCTTTATCATTACACTACTAGCTACAAAATCAGTAGTTAACCGGGAATCTTCAGATGTATTCTAACAGAAAATGGATTAAAACTCGTTTTACAACGGTCAGCTATGAGAGGTGTTGCACTTCCAGTGGTTAATAAGATACAAAACTTTTCACATTTTTACTTCCAGTCAGATTCTGCTCTAGATTTTCAACAGAATCTTCAAGTATTCTCTTATGAATTATATTAATCGACAAACGGTTTTCTGTATGAATTAAAACTACAGTAATTTAGGGTATCGACCCCTATTCTCTTCAAAGAACTCTTGATTTGGAGCGAAACACGTCCTATCTCTGCTTCTATTTTGCTAGGTATCCCTAAAAGACTCCAGAAGTTAGATTTTTTAGTTATCCTGCCATTTTACGCATTACCAAAATTGTGTACATAACTTTATGAACTGTGTCTGTTGTGAACGGTCGGCTGAAATGGCTGTAGTTAATGCATCCGAGTGGCGACTTCTCACAGATCTGGATTACTGATTTAAAATATTCCCGATAAGCGGATATCAAAAGACAGAATAACTTTTCAGGGAAATCATGGGCCGTTTAATATAATAAGATTACCCACTTATATACAAAATGTTTGCACTAGGTGAACATGATCAAAACTGATTTAAAAAGTAAATCATTATCCTAAACTTATGAAATCAAGACGTGATCATCAGGCTTACATATTGCTCCCTATATCATACAGAAATTTTTCCCAAAGTTAGCCCATTAGTAATCATACGAACAATGATTTGGCGATTGGAAGTTATAAAAGACCACAAACGTCCGGTGGTTTCCCTGGCCTTTCACAATACTTTCAGTATTTACGGCCTCCAAAAAAAGGTTGACCCACTTGAAAAGAGCCAATCTGTCAATTCATTATCTCTATACATAGCTCTAAATATTTTATGAATTTCTGATCGTTTTTATGAATTTTTTCTGAGATTCTAAGTAGCTCTGTTTACATCTCGATAAGTATACTCTTAGCTACCGTATTTTTGGATGTAAAGGACTCATAGACTGTATGATAGTAAAGTATATATTGAAACGTAATATGAACTTCTCAAAGTACCTATACTTTAGCATAAAGTTTTAGACAACTATTTTTAAAAATGTTTTCCTGTCAACTTACTGAACAGATTATGTAATTCAATACAAATTTACTCACGAGTGGTTTATTAAGATTTTACAAATCTATCTTA